TTCTCAAGACTGTTATCTAGATTTAGAAGTATTCCTCCCCTTGCCTGTCCTTTTTTTTTTTTTTTTTACAACTTTTGAAAGAAACTAAGCCAGTTGTCTTGAGGAATGTTTCACATTTTGGATTTGTCTTATTTCCTTGCGGTATCATGCAACTTGTTGCTCTATCTCCTGAATCTCCTGTAAACTGGAAGTTAAGTCTAAAGGCTTAATTATATTCAGGTTAAAAATTTTTGGCAAGGATACTTCATAGGTGATGCTGTGTACTTTATCCTGTATCCTTTGACAAGTAATATAATGCCTTGGCTACATCTCTTATTCACTCTGCTTACTAATTTCACTACTTTCTCATTACTGTTTTATTCTTACATTTGCACTTTCATTGAGTATGTTCAACATGGTGACAGTCCTCTTTTAATAACATCTTAACCTTGGGCTGTCAGTTTAGAATTTTCCCCAGCTCTTGGGGGAGAAGCAAAGAAAATCAAACAATCAACAAAACTGCTGAGTTTTGTGTATTGGGTCCTGCTTTCTCTACTGGGACTCTGTTCTCCTTCCTCCTAGCACCAACAGTTCTTCAAGATCTCTTTTCCCTGAGCAATGTTTTCCATCCTCTTCCCTCCTGCTCAGTAAAATTAAAATTTCCCAGTCTTCCCACTACAACTTTAGGCAGGCTGTTCCCTGTTTACTCTACTTAATCTGATGAACAGGCTTTTGTGAGGATTAATACAAAGTGCTACATAAGAATAAATAACTACCATTTAATGCATGTCAGTGGTTTAATGTAGCATCCCCAAAGTATGTTTATTTCCTAAAGAAGAGAATAGCAGACATTGTTATGGAGATAGACAAGTATCATTAGTAGTAGGAAGCAGAACTGTTAGGTTAGAGCAAACATTCCTTGTCAGAGAAATGAGGTTTTATGCATACATAGAATGTTAAAAATAAACAACAGAACAGCTTAGATTTGATATGAAAATCAAGAGAGCTCTGCTGCTGGTAGTTGAATGCCCACAAAGGAGAAGGGTAGAAGGAGTCCCATAGTCATTGTCAACTGACAATGGCATGATGCTGGGTGTCTTTCTTCAAGGTATTTTCCTTCTGAAATTCTTTCTCCCTTGTTTCTGAAATAATACTCTGCTAGTCTAAAAAGGACTCTTGACTTTTTAGCTGCTCTTCATAATAGAGATGTCCTCTTTATTATTATTAATAAACAAATGAAATTATTCTTAATTATAATTAATAGCTATATGGCTTATTATGTGCTAAGAATTGTGCCCAGCGTGTTATCTTAACGCACTCAATCCTGTGAGGCAGATGTTCTTATAATTCCCATTAAAATAAGAAAACTAAAATCCAAGTGTTAATAAGTTGTCACAGTGGTAGTATGTTGTGAATCCAAACCCATGTGTTTAATTACTATGTATGGAGCTTGCCACTAAAATTTTGGCATTATCCAAAGTTCTAGCCTTCATTCCTTTCTTCTCAAGGTCAAATCTTTGTGTTTACAATTTCTTTAATCTTTCCTTACAGATTTGTATGCCTATTGTGTTTTTATTCTTTACCGATCTCTTCATGTACTTTTAAAACTAGCTACATTTCCAACTGGAGGGTCAAGTAGACGGGGCAGAAACACACAGAAGTAATGCTAGTATTCTCACTGAATCCTGTCAGGTGGCATGTGATCTCCATTTGTCCATTATTGATGGCACTTGATCACTTGAGTAAGATAGTACCTGCGAGGCTTCTCAACACTAAAATTGCTCTAGTTCCTTTTGCCATTAATAAGAGTTTTGCAGGGAAACGCTTTGAAATTATGTAAATATTCCAATTCTTAGCACAATATCAATTTATATATTTACTTAATCTATAGTATTCAATGGGTTAAAATACATGATCCTTTTTTTAGTTTGAAGCTCAATTTATCCCTGATTTGGCCAGTGGGACACAAGTTGGCCCCTGTCCTTTTAATATGCCCCATTATTCCTTGAGCATGTCCTCATTTTCTGGTATAACTAGAGGCTCCAGGCTCATCCTGTACTTTCTCTTCTCTAGTTCTGGAATCAATTACTTTTCCAAGAAGAAAATGGAAGTGGAGAATGGTATTTAGAAGCCAAGATCTTGGCTAGATGTTCTCATTGTTTCATGTGTCATCACTACTCCCAGATCCTCTCAGTGAACAGAGTACACATGTATGTATATACCTGTATCTATTTCTACAAATAGTAATAGATTGATACCTCCATTACTAGTCCACTATCAAAAGGTTCATTCTAGCTTTCTCTTTCCTTATTTGTAACTCTCTCCCTCTACAGTGAGAAATCTGGCTCCCATTTTCCCTAATATATAGTTATGTGCCATATAAAGCCATTGGTAGTGGTCCCATAAGATTATATTTTCACTGTATCTTTTCTTTTTTTTTTATTTATTTTTTATTTTTTATTTTTTTTGGCATTTTTCTGGAGTGGAGAACTGTATCTTTTCTATGTTTATTTTATTTATTTTTTTGAGACGGAGTCTCACTTTGTTGCCCAGGCTAGAGTGAGTGCTGTGGTGTCAGCCTACCTCACAGCAACCTCAAACTCCTGGGCTCAAGCGATCCTCCTACCTCAGGCTCCTGAGTAGCTGGAACTACCTACAGGCATGCACCACCATGCCTGGCTAATTTTTTTCTATATATATATATTTAGTTGGCCAATTAATTTCTTTTATTTCTAGTAGAGATGGCGTCTCGCTCTTGCTCAGGCTGGTTTTGAACTCCTGACCTTGAGTGATCCGCCCACCTTGGCCACTCAGAGTGTTAGGATTACAGGCGTGAGCCACTGTGCCCAGCCCTTTTCTATGCTTAGCTACACAAATACGTATCATTGTGTTACAATTGTCCATGGTATTCAGTTCAGTAACATGCTGTACAGGTTTGTAGCCCAGGAGCAATAGGCTACACCATTACAGCCTAGGTATGTGGTAGGCTACACCATCTAGGGTTGTTCGCACAACAATGAAATCACCTGATGATGAAATTCTCAGAAATACCCCTGATGTTAAGTGACACTTGACTGTGCTTAGTTGACCAAATCCTTATATAACCAATTTTTCATTGCTGCTGCTGCCTCCTCCACATATCCCCATGTTGACATCCTAAGGCCAGGTGGCCCCCAGAGAACATGGCACATCAGGCCAGTTTCATGCTTGGATTCCCTCCTCACCGAGACTCTAACATGATAACACATACCCTCTACAACAGGGGTCCTCAAACTTTTTAAACAAGGGGCCAGTTCACTGTCCTTCAGACCGTGGGAGAGTGTGAACTGTGGGCCCAGGACGAGTCAGCTGCTAAGCAGGACAGTCATCGGGGGCCTGATAAATGTGCTAGGCCGGGCAGTAGTTTGAGGACACCTGCTCTACAAAGTACATTTTAAAATACATTACCTCTTTGAGTAATTAAGGTATTATTATCCAAAATCTTTCTTTTAACAGATCTTCAGGGATTTAGTTCAAGAGAAATCGAGTGATTGGCTCAAGGTCACACAGCTTGTGTGAAGAAAGCTGGCTCTTTCCACACCACTAATCTGTGATGCCTCTAAACATATGCCAAAATTAGAGTAACTTCTTTTTTCTCCAATAGAAAGATGTTTCAAACTGATTCAGTGTGTGTGGTCAGCTATGATGTTCAAGTTTTTCTTTTCCTGTGATACGTGTGCCCAACAGCGATGTGTTAGAAAAAGGACTGTTTGGGAAACTTAAATTTCAGTTCCAGCTCCAATCTATGAGACATTAGGAAGGTTACCTCAACTATATAGCTTTCCTCAACTATATAACAAGGAGATTATCTGTCTGGAGGTGGGTGAGATGGACAACCCTCCAGCCTCCACTAAAAAAATTATTTAGGGAACTGTAGGGCTTTCCCTGGACACCAGCAGAAATTGAGCTATAAATCCTTAACCCTTCCAACTTTCGCAGTTATGATCCCAAGGCAATCTTTTTCTGTATTCAATATTTGTTAGCTGTCTTTATTCTTCAGTTTATCATCTCACATTTGGATCTCAATTTCATCCTTCATTCAAAAATTATTATTGACGGCCTATTACGCACCAAGTACCTTTCAATCCGCTTTCTGTAGTATCCCTCTTCCGAGGGAAAAGTCATTTAGAATTTTGCCCATATTTTTCCAACTTGGGAGTCGAAAGCATTCGCAGCTACGGTAAATCTCGTTATTTATAAACACGCCGGTTCTCCTCCATCCTTCTCTCCACCAACCCCATTTCAAGGTTGGTCCCCATAGGCGGACAGACGGAAATGGATTTCTCTTAGGGAAAACCCTCCAACCCTCCTCCACCTAACGGTGGCTCCATCAACACGCTGGTTTCCTAGCTGCTCGATGGGAATTCGGGTGGGATGTTTTCCAAAGTTTGAGTGGATTCCACCACACATTCCTCCACCTCGGAAAGGCATAACCGGCCCGGCGTGGCACCTCTACAAGGACGCACGTAGGTCGCGGGGCCGCATCTCCTGTCCTCAGCGGGCGGTTGCTAATTGATTTAAGACTCTCCCCCAGCCGCTAGGTGACCCAGGCAGGCGGAAACTTCCTCGCTTCCCCTGTGAACACAGACGCAACATCTGCCCTTTTTCACTCGGCAGGAACTTCCCCCGGCCTCGGCTTTCACTCCGAAATAACCCAGCCGGCTCTTGGCACGCTCCCGCCGTCCTCTGTCCGCAGCCGCGCGCCCGGCCCCGCGGCGCGTGTCCTCCCGGGCAGCCCGCTCCCCGGCCCGCGTGCCCTTCAGCGGGTCCCTCAGCCAGACAGCCGCGGAGCGGAGCAGGGAGCGCGCCGGCGGCCGGAGGACGTGCGCGAGACGCACGGCCCCGCGCCGAGCGCCGGAAGCCGCTGGGCTCGGGCCTCGCGCGTCGCGCGCGCCGCCTCCTCCCCCTGCGCCCGCCGTCGCGGCCTCGCGCGCGCGCACTGACGCGCCGCCGCCGCCGCCGCCGCGGCTGCTGCTCCGGCTGCTGCAGGGGGCGGCGCTGGCTGGCGGCTGCGCTCGCTCCAGTCGGCGAGCGGAGCAGCGAGCGAGCGTGTGTGTGTTTTTTAAAGATGGCCGGAGCGGCGGCGGCGGTGGCCGCGGGAGCAGCAGCTGGAGCTGCCGCGGCAGCCGTGTCGGTGGCGGCTCCGGGCCGGGCCTCGGCGCCCCCGCCGCCCCCGCCCGTGTACTGTGTGTGCCGGCAGCCGTACGACGTGAACCGCTTCATGATCGAGTGCGATATCTGCAAGGACTGGTTCCACGGCAGGTAAATAAACCCCTTCCAGCCCCGCCGCCGCCGGCCACCGACCAACCGCCGCCGGCCGGTCGGCCGGCCGCCGGTCCGCACCTCCCTCTGGTCCGGCCGCCGCCCCGCGTCCAGTGCCCAGGGGGCCCCCGGCGCGAAGCCCCCGGGCCGGGCAGCGGGGCGCGCGGGGCCCCGGGCTCGCCGAGCGCCGGGCGGGCTGCCGAGGGGAGCGGATGAGCTCGCCCGGCCCGGGCGAAGAGTCGCCACAACAATCAGGAACAAAGGGGGCCGGCGGAGAAGTTGGCAGGGGGAGCCGGGGGTGAGGGGACGCGGCCGGGAGGACGCGGCGGGGGCGGCGGACAGAGCGCTGGCCCGGTCCTCAGCCCCTCGCCCGGCCGCCGCCCGCCCCGCCCCGCGGCGCCCGGGGCTCCGGCCCGGAGTCGCCGCCCGGCCCGCCGCCCCGCGGCTCTGTCCGGCCGGCCGCCGCGCCTTCCTTCCTTCCGGGCGGCGACGGGCTCGCTCCGACCCCGCGTCTCCCCCCGCCGCGGGTCCTCGTCGCGCCCCCTTCCCAGTCTTTATCAAACTTCCTCGGCCGGTGGGACGGGGGCGGCGGTGGGCCTGGGACGCGGCGGGTCCGGGAGGCGACCGCGCCAGCTAGCTCGGCGGGGCTCCGCGGAGTAAACAGAGCAACAGATGAGGCACTCTCTCGGGGACTTGAAAGGTGTCGGGGGGAGTTGGGGCCCGGGCCCCGGCGGGCGGCAGGTTGCCTCGGGTCGTGGCCCACACCCTCAACACACCCCCTGCTCCCCGGGGGTGGGGCGGATGGAGTGGGCGGCGGGGGCCCGAAGGGACTGCTTCTCCTCAGACCCCCTGCGTCGCCCTCGCGCCGCGGCTCAAACTTTACTTAGAGTGCAGTTGCCGTCGCCCGAGGGCCGGCGACAGCGGGCGGCCGGCGGCAGTGCCCGGGGGCCGGTGAACTTGAGTGGGCCAGGCGGGCGCTTTGGGGCCGGCTGGCGGCGGCGGCGGACGTTGCCCTCTGATTCAGCCGCCGCTGCGCTCCGGGTTTGACGTTTGAGGGAGCTCGGGCCGCCTCCGCAGCCAGGCCGCCGACTCGTGTGTTTTGTAATCAAAGTGTGAGGCTAATAAAGGGCGGCGCCACAGCCTCTTGACTCCGGCGTGGGAGGGATTCGCAGGCATTTAAACAAAGAAACTAGTTGGGGTTGGGCTCCCAAAGTCCTTATTTGGGTGTTGTGGCAAAGCCTGCGGTCACATTTAGGTGAAGCAGGTTTCCCGGGTCCCGTTTGGTGTTGTATCTTGGCGACAGCACGCTCACGAGTAATAGCAGATATGGTGACTGTGATTGTAGGAAGTGTCTTTTGATTGACAGCAGGACATTTAAATACAGCCTCCACTTTCCCCCTCCCCAATTTTACAGAAATACTACACGACCAGGCCAGATGTCTTAGTCTCCCTCTACTGGTCCAGGGAGAGAAAACCATTTAAGTGACAGTGTTCTTTTCAGTGTTTAGTGCTAGGTTTTACTTAATTTTTAAGTACAGTTAGTTTTACTTAATTAGTTTTCTGGTTAGACAAATCTGACAACATAAAACAAGATAGAACACATTATCACTTTAAAAGAAGGGCTGCGTACTCGTTTTGTATATAGATAATCTTTAGCAGTCTGGTATCACATATACTAGACTCGAGTATATAATTGGGGAATATTATATTTTTGCCACTTGTAATTAAGAATAAATTATCCAGAGTTCTTTTTTATTACTTCAGACTGGTGTTTTTCTGTATTTTGATTACATATAAAAGTGAAATTTGAAGATGCCAAATTTTTCCAGTTCTATTTTCTACATCCTCTGTTCCCGTAACATATTCTAAGCAACCAGAATAGAGATTATCCAAAAAATTTAGGTTCTAGTTAGACTAAAATCAGAATCTCTGGTGATTATGTAAATGCTTATTTTTTCAAAGAACTATTTCATGAAATTGAGTTGAGGCGTTTTAAGCTGCATAAGAAATTTGTCCCATTATGCAATGTAGAGATTTGATAGGTTAGTAAATTTTAGACTAGAATTTTATTTATCTTAATTTAGGTAACTTAACACTATAACCATGAAAAGTCTCAGGTATTTTATGGAGACTTTTGCAATACATTTAAGTATTAATTTGTAAACAGGAGCAGTTGGGGAGGAACTAAAGAGGACATGGGGAAGGAAGGAGAGCAAGGCCAAAACAAGTATGCTGTCCCTGCTTTGTCACATAAATTTTTGTAACTTTCGTTATCTATGGAGGTGACTCTAAAATAAGTCCTTTTGACCATCAATTCTTGAGACTTTAATGTGGTTCAGAGGTCAGAAGTTAGAAAATTTAGCGATAATGGTCTGCAGTATCTTTTTAGTAAATTTAGGGGTCTATATGTTTTTCCTTTGATGAATATTTAATGTTCATTGTACCATGAAAAGAGTGATTATTTTTTTGAGCCCAGCAAAGTGAATCTTATGTATTAATTATTAAGCAAGTATTATTTACTTCCATGAGAATTGGCCCCTAAAGGACTAAGTTGTATCTTCAATCCCCATACTCCTCCACTTTCCTTTGGTTTCCAGAAGTGATCCATCTGCAGAGGAGCAAGGGGGAGTAGGAGGTTGGATCCAGAGAATTACCTTTGCCTGGATAATTTCTTGATAACATTTATTTGTTCAAGTAGAAGAACTTTTTAAATTCTGGAAATCATGTAAATTTTAGTTTACTCTGCCTAGAGTTCCTGACCTTAAGGAAATCTGAAACATTGTTGCCCTAATTTTTTCTGATGAAAAAGGAAGCCTGTCCTTTATGCTTCTCAGTCAGGTGGCAGGGTGGGTGGAACCAACTTCTTCCAGGTCAGAGGCTGTTAAATTTTGGCTCCATCCTGGGTATTCAGGGATTCCCATCCCTCAATCTGGCTAAGTCTTTTTGCAAGTGAGAGGAGAAAAGAACACTTGCTAGCCTGGGTCATAATGTATAATTGATACTCTAGGGGCATTGAGTTGAGGAATTAACAGGATTTTCTTGGGGAGGTTCCTTCCCACCTAGAGATGGAGTTCCCCCTCTCTTGAGTTCTCAGTGGAAGTAAGACAATGTGGAACTTTCCTGATAATGCCCACCACCCACTCTCTAGCTAGATGTCTTTCTGTAGTACTTTTATATCATCCTATGCAAAACTGCATCATTTCCCTAATTAAATTGTATTAGAGTGTTGTCTTCCCATTATAATGTAAACACCTTTGTTTATTAGTCTTTAATCACATATTCTTTTTGGTTGATAACAATAAATTATAGAAAAATTGGAAAGTGCAGAACAGTATAAAGAATATGAAAATACTCATGTCTTCCAGAGATCACCACTGTTTTAACATTTGAGTTATATGTATATCATTTTTTTTTTGAGGCAGAGTCTCACTCTGTTGCCCGGGCTAGAGTGCCATGGCATCAGCCTAACTCACGGCAACCTCAAACTCCTGGGCTCAAAAAATCCTCCTGGGCTGGGCGCTGTGGCTCACGCCTGTAATCCTAGCTCTTGGGAGGCCGAGGCAGGCGGATTGCTCAAGGTCAGGAGTTCAAAACCAGCCTGAGCAAGAGCGAGACCCCGTCTCTACTATAAATAGAAAGAAATTAATTGGCCAACTGATATATATAGAAAAAATTAGCCGGGCATGGTGGCGCATGCCTGTAGTCCCAGCTACTCGGGAGGCTGAGGCAGAAGGATCACTCGAGCCCAGGAGTTTGAGGTTGCTGTGAGCTAGGCTGATGCCACGGCACTCACTTTAGCCTGGACAACAAAGCGAGACTCTGTCTCAAAAAAAAAAAAAAAAAAATCCTCCTGCCTCAGCTTCCCGAGTAGCTGGGACTACAGGCATGCACCACCATGCCCAGCTAATGTTTTTTCTCTATATATTTTTAGTTGTCCAGCTAATTTCTTTGTATTTTTAGTAGAGACAGCGTCTTTTTCTTGCTCAGACTGTTGTTGAACTCCTGAGCTCAAACAATCCACCCTCCTCGGCCTCCCAGAGTACTAGGATTGCAGGTGTGAGCCACCACGCCAGGCCTATATATCCTTTTTGAAAAATAGGAATTTATTTTATGCTTTCTACTGTTAACCTTTTTTCATTAATATGTACTTTTTCCTATATCTTTAATGTTGTTTAAAAACATTTTTAGTGACTGTATAGTGTTTAATTCCACAGAAGTACAATATATTTGAAAATCATTCCCCTGTTGTTAGTTATTTACCTTGTATACCGCTTTTTAAAATATCTGGCTAATAATGACATGATTGACATCTTAAATCATTGTGGGTATCTCTAATTATTTCCTTAGAATAAATCAAATTAGTGAATACATGTAAAACACAAGAACACCTGGCATGTGTGTTCTTATAAGAAATTTCTTTGAATAGGTATTATTGGTCAAAGGATACAGATGTTTTTAAGCTTCTTGTGCCTATTGCCATGTCATCCTCTAGAAAGGTCATTCCAGTTTATATACTAAGATACTATTAACCCCCATTCCCAAACAAGCAGCCAATCTGTAGATAAGTGAATATTCCCACCAGAAGACATGCGGGGAACATTGAAGGCAACATTATTCATTTTGTCGCCAAAGTGGATCAACCTAAATGTCTGTGACAGTACATTGGATAAATTAGTATATTCATAAAAAGGAATACTACTCAGCAATTAAAAAAATTTCCTATTGATGCACACAGCAACATGGCTGAATCTCACGGATTAAGTTGAACAAAAGAAGCTAGACACAAAAGAGTATACTGTTTGATTCCATTTATATGAAATTCAAGTACAGGCATAATTGGGGATAGAAGTCAGAATAGTGTTTACCTTTTTTTGGGTGTGTTAACCAAGAGGGAGTTTCTGAGGTGCAAGACACATTCTATATCTTGATTTTGGGTGGTGGTTACATGAGTGTGTCCAGGTGTAAAGATTTGCTGAGCTGCATTTATACTGAAGTTTTTT